CACACACCCATCAAGCTCCTGCCAGAAGTAGGATGAAACCCCAGAGATGCAAAATATCAAGTTACAACCTGCCTTGGAAACACATCTGGACCTAGACCATAGCCTGTTTTTTCTACTCTGCCACCTACACACTTGTAATCACAAGACTCAATGTACTAATCCTTGCTAACTAGACTGTGCAGAGCACTCCACAGGCTGGCCCATTTAACTAGTGCATCTCTGCCTTACATAAGACAGAAAACTGAGGGTTCAAGAGAGTGAGGTCCTTGCCCAAGAACATGCTTGCCCAAGTCTGCCAGATTTCAGAATCCGCACCCAGAACCACTGTGTGTGTAACACTGTCCCTGCCCTGTAGACCAGAGTGTAGGGAAGTGCCTTGACCTCTAGAAACCCTCCCAGACGCACAGGACCAGGCCTCATTTCCATCTCTGGGTTCTACTTCCCTCCTCACCGCCCCCCCCACGCTGCTCAGCAGCCTTTCCCAGCATACATGTGATGCCCCCAGTTCCCCTAAAAGCCTCCTCCTCCTCCTGTCTCTTCTTACGAGACAGCCAGTTTGGGATTATATTTGACTATTTTTAATGGCTTGGAATCAAGTCTGAAATGTCTTCCGGGGGTGGAGAGGTGGGGGAGTCTTCGTAAGGCTGAGGAAGAGCCCAGTGAGGATGTGTCGAAGAGCTTCAGGTGGGGGGCTGCTTCCCTTCCTGAATGGCTGCAGAACTCACATACCTTAACAGAACTTCGGAACCCTAAAGCATGTTGAGCTTAACTAAATTCAAGTCCTGTGTCACTATGGGCAAGTTGCTTAATCCCTCTGTGCTGTAGTTCAGAAAGGAATCATAATAGTATAGTCTTTCACAGTGCTAAGTAATTTTTTTTGAAACAGGGTGTAATGTAGCCTTGATATATAACCAAGGATGACCTTAAATTTCTAGATCTCCTGTCTCCACCTCCTACTGCTGGGCTTACAGGCATGTGCCACCATGCTTGGTTTTTAAAGTCATAAATGTTGCTGTGATTGGCATTGTCTTTGATGTACTTATGCTATTTTTAGAGCTCATGGAAGGTCCTGAGGAGATCATACAGCATCCTTGAGGAAGACACAGATACTGAGCTCAGGTGCTGTATTCAAATCTTGCTTTGCTCCTCACTAGTCACATGGCCTTGGCTAAGTAACTGACCTCTGTAAACCTTAGTGTCTTTGTTTGCTAAGTCCTTCCCTGGACCCTGAGAAACTGGATTAGTGAGGACATGTCCTTTTATGGAACTTACAAGACTTTATGGCAGCACATGTGCTGGGAGACAGGGCTAATGGGTCATCCTGGTTGTCTTCAGGGGAAGACACCCAGGATTGAAGCCAGCACAAAGCAGAGAAAGTCGACTTGGGGAACACAGAGTCATAATGACATTGCTTGAGCCCCTGGATCACACTGTGCCTGAAGCAAGCAGCCTTTGGACATCTCATTTTCATGACCCAATAAATTTCCCATTTTGCAAAAGTCACTTTCAGTTAGGTTTTCTTATAGGAAATTATCTAGGCCAACACCAAGAGGTTAAGCAATTTAGCCCCAGCGTGGATGCTGCTGTGAGAGGCAGACTCAGGGCCAGGAAACGTGTCTCATGCCACAGTGCTCTCTCTTGTCCAGGCCAGCTCTGGTGCCGGGATGCCCGCTGACTGCACCTCTTTACTCATTCTCGACAGCGATATTTTTTTCCTCTGAGAAAGGGGGACAGTTTAAAGGGCTTAAAAGAACCTTGGAGCTTATCTGAAGCCCTGCGTGGCTGCAGGCTAAAGCCTCTAGTTCTCAGCACATTGGCTTTGCCCACTGGTGACTCCATCTGAGAGACCTATCAGCCGATTGGTCCAGGAGCCCAAAACTGTTAGGAAGAGCAGGTCTGTGGCTCAGAGGCCAGGGCCACACCCTTCCTGCCTGTGGGCTCTCAACACTGGGTGGTTGAGCTGGATCATCCCAAGAAACTCTGAGTCTATGTAATGCAAAGAAGCCCTGTCATCCTGACATCTAGACCCTTCCAAGCACTGTGAGTGTTCTTTGGAGAGTGACTCGCACTTCAAGGAAGGATGGCAATCGGATTAAAGCAACTCAGTCCACTTAGCTCATGAAGTTTGTAGTTAGCAGCCAGGAGAGGATAAACACATCAAACAAACACGTAGTGATAGGTCACATGGTAAAGGGGTGGGTGGGTGAGTGTGAATGTGAGGGAGGAGGGTCTGTTTATTAGGAGAGGAGCAGGGGCCTCCCAGATGAAGATTGGTCCTAAGCTCTAAGCTGTGCTGTCTCCCAGAAGACCCACTTACAATTCCAGGGATGATGAAAAGTCGAATGGTCTGTTTTGTAAGGTTTTTTTTTTTCCTATAAGCAGAGTCTATGAGACCAGAGAACATTCCACAGGCCCCATTGCCTAGAAAGGGCTTTAGCCTTCATGACTTGTGGCTACCTTGTTTATTTTCTAATCTGTGATCACTCAGAGATTCCCAGCCACCCTCCCTCATCATCCGAAGGGCTTTGGGAAAGCCAAGTCTCAAGGTCACACAGGTCCCTCCTCCCAACCCAATGTTGGGTGCTTGGGACACAGACAAAAAGTTGAGGTCCTTCCCTAATAGATCAGAACTGCCAGGAGACAAACCATAGAATAAACATGGCAGACAGAAGGGCTTCATTGGGAACACACAGGGTCTCCTTCAGGGTAATATTTCTAACAGGGTTTTTTTCCTCACCAATTGGAGTGGGTCAACTGGGTACCCCTAAAAAGACACATCACAAATGTGACCTTATTTGGGAAAGGATCTTTGTACCTGTTGCTGACTTAGGAACCTCAGGAGGAAATCTGGATCAATCTAACCTGCCACATCAGTCTGGGACACAATGAAAGATGTCCTTATAGAGCAAGTCAGGGAGGGCAGCAGACAGGAGGAACCACACAGAACACCATGTAAAGACAGGGCAGGTGTAGAAGGATGCAGCCACAAGCCAAGGAAAGACAGGCCTGTCAGAGCTGTAAGAATCAGGGAAGGGTTCTCAGGGATCAGAGGGAGTTCTGCTAGGCCAATACTTTCCATTTCCAACTCGGAGGTCTCAAGAACGATGAGAGACCAGGTCTGGTGGCACAGGCCTATCATCCCAGATGTTCAGGAGGCTAAGGTGGGAAGAGCAAAAGTTCAAGGAGAGCCTGGACACTTTAGTGAGGCTGTTGAAACAAAAAGTAAAAGGAGGGGCTGGAGACGTAGCTCAGTGTTAGAACCACTGCCTAACATGCAGAAGGCCATGGGCTACATCTCCAAAAGGGAGGGGACAGGGCAGACTTCTCACTGTGTGACACCCCTGCAGGCCTGAGTACCATTTGGGCTCAGGATGGACACTGGATTCATTCATCTATTACCAACTCCTTTTCACAAAGGAGAAAAGTGAGACATATTTGCTCAAGGCTGCACCATGGGTACTTAGACCCAGAACCATCCTTGCTTCCTCCTAGGCAGGCATCTGGAGGTTTGGCTGAAACCTGACTTGCAATCCCATTTGCAAGGCTGTTTTTTGATTGTGGGTTTTTGAGACAAGGTCATCATTCTGCATCTCTGGATGGCCTGGAACTCACTATGTAGATAGATCAAGCTAGTCTTGAACTTGTGGTGATCCTCCTGCCTCTGTCTCCTGACTGTTGGGCAGCTGCTAGCCCAGCTCCACAATGCTTTGGATTAGAGGTTTGCCTCCGTGCCTCACTCTTGTCAGCCTTAAGATAGGAATCACAGTGGCTCTTTGAGAGGGTAGCTATGTAGAGGAAGTGAATGAGGACTGAATGCCAGATACAGTGTCTCCCACAGCACCCCAAGAGTGCGCTTGAATCCAACCTACCATACCAGGCGCTAGGCACAGGGCACTGATTCCCAAGCAGTCGTCCTTCCAATCATGTGCCAAGTCCAGGGTGGGTGGTCACAGCTTCAAGCTCCAGACAGGCTTCCCAGAGGCCTCACCACCACTTTAGGTACACTTCAAGGACCCCCACATATCAGGCTCAGCTGGGGTTAAGATTATGGGGCTTTACTCCCAACAGGCACTGCCTGAGTCCTTTGGAGGTGGGTCCAAGAACCCACATCATTCAGGACTCTTCCTGGGTGATTGGAACACACAGAATTTGCACTTCTGAATTCAGTGCTAGTACAATTTCCTTGGTACTCCTGGAATAGTGAAAACTTGCCCAGATCTATCCTTTCCTTCCACTTGAGCAGAAATCTTGTGATTAAGAGAGACATGCCTTTAGAGTAATAGGCTTCTCCCAGGACCTAGAGAATCATGAACCTCTCCTAAGTTTCATGAAGTAGGATGGACAGTCCTACTTGGGAGACACTGGGAGATTGAGGCAGGAAGATCTCAAGTTGGAGGCCAGCTTGGGCTATATGCTGAATTCCAGTCGGGATTGGGCTATGGAGTGAGACACTGTCTAAAAGAAACAAGGAGCTGGAGATGTTGCTCTGTTGAGTGCTTGCTTAGCATGCATCAAGCCCTAGTTCCATCCCCAGCAATGCATAAACAGGTGTGGTGCATGACTACTATCCCAGCACTTGGGAGGTGGAGGCAAAAGGATCAGAAGTTCAGGTCACCCTTGGGTCACAGCAAATTCGAGGCCAGCTATGTAAGACCCTGAAGTAAAAAGGAAAAAAAGGTGGATATCTAGATTGAGGCAGAGGCAGGAAGTGGGGGCAAGCCTCATCTCAAGGTCACTCTCTCACCCTGGACTCAACCGACTGAGTTGAGGCTTGAACTATCTTGCAGGCCAGGCTAAGCATACGCAGGCCGTGGGCGGGCCGAACGTTCGCTTGGGCTTCGAGAGGTCGCTAAGCCCAAGAGCGGAACTGCGGGAGTGCGGAACCTGGGGATCGCGGAACCCCAGAGAGTGCGGAATCCCGGAGAGCGGACCTCGGAACTGGGGAGCGCGGACTCCGGGGTTGCGTAACCCTGGAGAGCGGAACCCCGGAACTCGGGAGCACGGAACTCCGGGAGCACGGAATCCCGGAGCGCAGACCCCCAGAGCGCCCCGGAGCCTGGCGTTACCCTCTGTCTTTGGGCCGAAGCAGCTTCCTCTAGGCCCCGCCCCTTCCCCGCCCCGCGGAAGTACCGGGTGGAATCCCCTCTCGCAGATTGGCCTTCTCGTTTGGGGTGGGGCCACCGGCGAGGCGGGGTGCGTACTTCCGGCTGCCGGCTTGACATGCAGAAGTGGTGGCTGGGGCGGCGGTGCTGGCGGAGACGGCGGGCATCGGGGCGCTAAGCGACGCGGCCTAGCGCGGCGGACCGCGGAGGGGACGCGGCAGCCGGCCGGCCAGCCATGGAGATGGAGAAGGAGTTCGAGCAGATCGACAAGGCCGGGAACTGGGCGGCCATTTACCAGGTGCGGAGCCCCGGGCGGGCCGCTTAGGCCCTGCTGTAGAGCCGGCGACCCACGTCGGCGCAGCCGGCTTTTCCCTTTCGAGCCTCTAGTCCCCTCCGACCCCCCCCCCACCTCTCCTGCCCCGGCCTGGGTGACCTCTCTGCGGTCCGTACCCTCTCCAGGACCCTCGGCCCCGGCCTTGCCACCCTTTGTCCCCGGGGTCGATCAACACCCCCGCTACTTCCTTTTCTGGACCGGACCACCTCAGGCCCTCTTCCTTTGTCTCCCCTGGAGAAAGGCTCGCCTCTCCCTGCACATTTCCTTTCCTCTCTCCTCGGTGTGCCGTCGTCGAGGCCCCAGGATGACAGTCCCCTTCCTCCCTTTCTGTTCATTCATTTGTTGGACGTGAGCTGGAGAGAGTTTTGGGCAAGGCATTGGAGATGGTGTGGGTTGGACCGGTCGGTAGATCCTGGCCCCGGTGAGATTTGGAGTCACATAGGCAGTCAGATACAGATAATCGCATCTGGTGACTAGTGTGGTGAAGAGAAAGAGACAGGCGATGCAGGGTGACTGCTGCCTTAGAGAGGGGGGACCAGAGCAGGGCTGTTAACGGAGGCTTGACCTTTGAACAAGCCATGAGGTTAGCAGACTAGCCTTCTAGGGGGACAACAGGGGCCATTGGTCCAGGAGCCAAAATATTTCCCTTCCAATAACATCTTTCTTCGCTGAGATGATGTTGACTTCTGAGACACCATCTACTTATGGGGGGGGGGGTCCTGGTGGGTCATAAAACATTCGGAAAGCAGGGTTTCTCTAAGAAACAGCAAATTGAAAACATGAAGAGGTCTTTCACAAGCAGCTAAGTCCTCTAAAGAAAATAAGAACTCCCGATTAAATGTCAGTGCGTGGGCCGTGAGGGTTAACCAAAACCACACTCGACCGGCATCTTAAATAAGCATGTGCAAAATAGATTCTGTTCCTTGCTTAAAGGGAGAAGGCCGCTTATTCTGCTTCAGTTTACAGGTTCAAAAGGCGGCGGATTAGATCCATCAGTTGGAAAATTGAAATCTATTTTGAGCTTTGCTTGGAAAAATAAAAAGCCTTAGGCTGCTCTTTGGTGCACTCGACAGACAAAAGCCTTTTTGGGTGGCCTTGATTTCAAGATTGCTTGACAAGAATCTTTTTACTTGGGCTGTAATGTATGTTAGCTCTCCTAGACAGATATTTATAGCCAGTGTAATCTGTGTAAGTACAAGCGATCAATAGGTAACATTTGTATTCCCGGTCTAGTTTCTCTGAATTAATTGGATGAATTCCACCAGTGAGTCAGAATTTTCTGCAGCAAACTGAATAGAGTTGAGCCCAAGGTAGCTAATTGTCAGTGGCTCTAAAATGTGGGGGCTGTTGAGGATATAGATGGTGCCAAGTGGAGGCAGTTGAGGGGTGCTCTTTTATTCTGATACAGACTGATTTGGTAACAAATTCCTATTATAAATAAGTTATGGTAGTATTCGGTTTCTTAGACTTTTAGGTCAGAGTGGCCTGACCTGACATCTAAGCCTTGTTAAAACTTGTATTCAGAATGCTACTGGCATGTAGTGCGCTGCCTTTGAATTAATTTTCCTCTTTATTCTTAAATATCTCCACCACACTTAAACCCCAGAAGTAGTCAGGATAGGAGGGCTTCCCTAGCTGGCTCACAACTTGCTACATTCCCAGAGGTGGTTTCTCTGTTTTAAAGGATTGTCATCCCTCAGGCTTCCCTCATCTCTAGTGGTGCAAGTATTTTTATTTTCTAAAATGGATATCAGAATGCTTCTCTTTTTTAATTTTAAAAGTGGCTCTTTATCTTACAGCTGAGCCATTTAAAGCACAGCAGAATTTCATGACCTTGAGTGAGCCTAAAGTGGCTAGTTTTCCAAGGTGAACACCAGTTTACCCAAACCGTTGTAAACGAGGCAGTGCTGTCATTCCTCATTACTCTAACTTCTTTTCTAATTATAACCGGAAGATGCACAAACTCTGAAACAAAGGCAAAGAACAGAGGGTGAAATGGATTTCTGAGCGCTGGGAAGGTGGCAGCTTAGGTACCTTCTAGGCAAGCAGCAGCCAGAACATTCAGGTGACAAGTATTCAGGTCTGTGGAAAGCCAGGTTTGCTTGTATAAAGAATGGCTTTAAAGGTTGTCCTCTGTCATTTAGATGATTTAAAGTCACCTGGTTTGCAAAGGGGAAGCAGTACTGAGGAAGCCCAGATCAGAGCCCAGATGAAAAACACGATTGACTTAGCACCTTGGCAAGCCCAGTGAGGCAAGACTGAACGGAAGGCCCCAGGGAAGCTGCCCTCCTCCTGTAGCAGCAGAGGGTGCCGAAGGACGGTGCCAGCAGCTGTGTTACTTTTCTCATCTCTCAGTTCTTTGATTCTGTCACAGTCTCCTTTTCAGTGTGAATGATTTAATTGCTTCAGATAAAGGAGAGTGCCCCAGCAACTCATGATATGAAGGCAAGACTTTGCTCCGGCACAGAGGTGGGCTTTGGGAGATGGGCCGCTCATCCAACTAACGTTCATTCTGAAATACCATGTGGTGCTGGACTAGGTTAAAGTCCTGTAATGCTCTGAAATTCCTTCCTGGCATAGACAGCTGATGGTGTCTTCCAAGACGAATATTGAGCTTCCCAATAATGTTTATTTAAACACCATTAGCTTCAAAGGTGGGAAAAAAAGCTATATTTTGTGCAGAGGCAAAAGATCTATACACCATGACTCATTTTACTTAAAAGAGAGAGAGAGAGAGAGAGAGAGAGAGAGAGAGAGAGAGAGAGAGAAACGAAAACATGTAGAAAATGGGGAGTTGTAGTCATCTTGAGTGACCCATGAGGTCTAAATGTTTGTGCTGGGTCCTGGTTTTCATGAACTAAATTTAGGCATCTGATCACCACTTCTCAGGGGTGTGAAGACCTTTGTAATCTTTGGGCTAGTAGGAAATTAACCGAGAGTCCCAGGAGGAAGGCAGTCTTATTTGCTGTCCCCAGCATATCTATAGTATCTGGTGGTCACCTTTGGGGTTGTGGAAAAACGGGTGAAAGCAAATGACTTTTTTTTTTTTAACTTAAAAAAATTTTTTTATTATTTTTATTTTATGTGTATGTGTGTATTGCCTGCATGTAGGTAAGTGCACCCATGTCGTGCAATGTCTGCAGAGGACAGAAGAGGCTGTTGGATCCCCTGGGACTGGAGTTAACGGATGGTTGTTAGCTGCCATGTGGGTGCTGGGATTCAAACTCAGGTCTTCTGCAAGAACAACCAGTGTTCTTAACCACTGAGCCATCTCTCCAGCCCCAAGCAAATGGTTTTTAGCTTCTGGATGCCTGCCTCTGCTTGGATCCTGTGGATCCTGGCCTGCTTGATCACGTTTTTTTTTAAAGTTTCTCAAAACCTCTTGCATGCTCTGGTATTAAATAATGTAATTAATGGGAAGTATACTAAATTTCTTGGTTGGAATGAGTGTGGAGGCTTTTTAGATCAGGACCTCCTGAGATAATTGCCTTTTCTCCCTTTTTCTCTTTTTCTTCTGTTGGTCCTGGGATAGACCTAGGGTCTTGTGCATGCTAGGCAAGCACTGTACCACTGAGCTAATCCCTAGCCCGAGTTTTCAAGTTGGTCTTGCTCTGTGACCCCGTTTGGCGTCAATCTTGCTGCCATCACCCCCATTACAGACCTGACCTACTGTGTTCAATGCTTACTTTCTTTTTACCTTCAAATTGTTTGTTTTCTGGGTTTTTCTGGTGTCAGAATCCTTTTGGTAATGTTTATTCTGTGTTGGGCCTTTAAATGCAGATACTTTAAGGCCTGCCTGTGCTGTGTGTATTTTGCACAGCTTGGTCTTCTTCCCTGCAGGGCTGTTCATTTGCTCTCAGTAACATCTAATACTGGGGAGGAGGTTGGGCATGTTCTCCATGCTATCTGTGTTCCAGACACAGGAATCCTACCTGAGTTCCTGCTTCCCAGATGATGACACTTCACCTGGCACCCAGAGTACCCTGGGTATGTTTTGAGTCGGCAGGAGTGCTGGGGACCTTGGAGTAGCTGAGAGTCCCTCCCCCACCTTCCATTGATTGGTTACCTCACCATCCACCCCAGTGGTCAGAGTGCCCATAAGCCTGCACTTGCCTACTGTTCACACTGCAGAGATTACAAGCTGGTTATCTCTTATATTTATTTTATTGTATTGTTTGTATGCTCTGTGTGTGTGTATGACACCTGTGTATGCATGTGTGCCAAGATGCACATGAGGCCCCAGGACAACCTCAGGTGTTGGTCTTTGCCTTCTACTTTGAAACAAAGTCTCTTGTTCACTGCTGCTTATGCCAGGATAGCTGCTCCTGGCTTACAGGAATTCTGTCTCCCTCTCCTGCGTCACTGGAGGAGCATGGGATTACAGGCAGGTGCTTCTGTGTCTGATTTTATGTGAGTTCTGGGGATCAGAACTCATGTCCTCATATATTCACAGCAAGCACTTTTTACCCACCGAGCCATCTTCCCAGCCCACGCTGCCTGCTTCTTAACCTGGCCCCTCAGCAGGCTCTCCACATCCCACTCTGCTCTTCCATGCCACGTGGACTCTGGCTCCTCGCTAGTGTGCTTGTTTAATAGCACATCTGAGCCTGTTGTTTCTGTGTAACGACTTTTAATACTAACATTTGTTATGGTTCAGATTTGATGTGGCAGTTAGGTCACCACCATCCCCTGCCATATCCTGCCCCATCTGCCCAAGTGGCCTCATGCCTGCAGCGCCCCTCACACTTGCCTGGCTTACACCTTCCAGCCCCAACTTACACCCTCTCTCATGGGGTTCTGCTTTTGGTCCTGGGCCTTATGTGGACAACCTGATGTTCCTCTTCTCAGAAGCCCCACACTCATTAGAGTTGCCTCTTCATATCCTGGTCTGTCTCCCTTGTCGCTGACATGTCCCAACGTCACTGACTTATCCCCTGAACCTGGCACAGAGTCAGTGCCTACCT